GGGCTGCTGGGCCTGCTGGGCCGCGCCTGGCCGCCGCCCCTTATAGCCTCCGCCCCGCCCCCTGCCCGCCCCGGCCCCGCCCCCTGCCTCCTTTTGTTCTGAATTCTCCCCGCAGCGGCCGGCAGGATGGGGGAGGTGGACCGGGAGAGCTTGGCCCGGCAAGGGTCTGGGGCCCGAAACAGTATCCTGTCCAGGAGCGGGCCAAGCCCCTGTCCTCGGAGGCCTGGTGCTGGGTAACCCTGGCCAGCGGTGCCACTCTGAGCCTCAGTTTCCCCTCTGTGTGATGGGCGTCCAAAGCCCTAGACCCGGTGAGAGTCTGAGAGGAGTCGGGTTTCGATCCCGATCCCTACCCCCACCTTTAGAAGGCGAATCCGGCTGTGTCTCCCGGGTGATCTGACCTCCGACTTTCTGCTAGCTTGTGACAGGTGTTCCTACCCACGGGAAAGTTCCCCCACTCTCAGACGAGGGCCCTGCCCCACAAGCTGGCTTAAAGGATTAAGTATGGTGAGAACACACTAGTGCACATGACTTTGTGCATGGCCCAGAATAGCTCCACACACTTAACTGCATGAGCCAGGCAGGGCCAGACTCAACCCAGGGGGCTGTCTCCGCTTGCTCCCTCTCCCTCCTCCTCACAGAGAAGCCTCCTCTCCCCACTCAGTGACCAATTCCCCCGCCCCCATGCTTTTGCTCTTGGTGGTTTCACCCTCCCCCCACCCCAGTGTTAGGGGCCTCCAAGGGCATACCAAACGGTGATAAGGAAGGGTAAAGAAGTCAGGGTTCCTCAGTGCCCCCACCTAAGGGTAATAATATGAAAGGACCATAAAAACCTCGAATCCTGAAGGGCAGGTAAGCGTTCTAAATCCACGCCTCCTGGGACCATGGTGCAGGATTTAAACCCCGGCTTGCTTTGACCGTGGCCGCGCAAACGCCTCTAGGCTCTCAGGTCACGCCCTTTGGGACGGACACGCTGCTTGAATGTGGCGTAAACGCTGTCAGTGACCGGCGGGGTCAGGGGACCAGGCGGCGTGGGGTCAGGGGGTCCGGTGGCGTTAGGGCCCTTCGGGGGAGGGCCCCATCGCATCCCCCCGCGGGCACTGCCCAAGGCTGCAGCGTCCTTTGGCCAGGAAAGAATTGAAGAGGGACTGGGACGCCCCCTAGCGGGGGTTCTGGAGTCGGGTCGCTGCAGGCCTTCGCGAGGGCCGCTCTTCCCGGCTCTGATCCTTTCGCGACCCAGAGGCCATGCGGTGGTCAGCAAACCCTGTCTGGTGGGAGAGGGCAGGGAGCGGAGCCCGGCCTGGCGCCTCGCGCCCCCTCCTCGGCTGGCCTCATCCAGTCGCCTCCCTGTCGCCTCTCCCTTCCAGGGCACACGACAACCCCCAACTACACTCCCTGCGCTCCACCGTGGTCCTTCCAACAGAAGGACCTTACCCTGTCGCTCCTGCTTAAGCCCTCGGCGCTTTACGGCATTGGCCCGTGTCCCCAGGGCCCTCACAACTTGGGTTAGGAGAAGGGAGGGAGCAGGGTCCTATTTCCAGCTGAGACAGGCGCCGAGACAAGGGGATGCTGGAAGGGAGAGAGGTCCGGACTGTGAAGGACTGACTTGGGGGAAATGCCACCTCCCACTGGGGGCGTGTCCCTGAGGTCCCGCCCCAGATCACGCCTCTTTGCACCCTCTGTGACAAGCGTTGCTGCGTTTGTCCCCAGACAGAACAGCCGCTACCGTTGTCGTCTCTGACTCAGCTCGGCTGCGTCCACCGCCGCCACCATGCCTCGGGGGAGTCGCAGCGCGGCCGCCCGGCCAGCCAGGTGTGAGGGGAACAAGGGCCCCGTGGGGAGGGGGCTACAGAAGCGTGGGGACTCCCCCAAGGTCGTCCGCAGAGTGACCTTGGCTGCTACTGCGCCATCTTGGCGGGGGAGGGGCAGGGGTGCAGTAACCATGTGTTCAAGACCTGGGTCGCCCACCTCTCCGGGTGTAGAAGGGGTCATTTCCATGAGCTGCAGGCCCCTTGCCAGGATTAACCCTGCTTCCCTCCAACTCCCGCAGCCGCCCCGCCGCACCCTCTGCTCACCTGCCAGCGCACGCACCGCCCTCGGCAGCCGCCCCAGCCCCATCGGGCCAGCCGGGCCTCATGGCACAGATGGCAACCACGGCCGCTGGGGTAGCCGTGGGCTCAGCTGTGGGACACGTCATGGGCAGTGCCCTGACTGGGGCCTTCAGCGGGGGAAGCTCCGAGCCCACCCAGCCTGCTGCCCAGCAGGTGAGTAGCGGGTCCAGGAGAGACTGACAGGATTCTCTTCACGTCACGAAGTGCCCAGTTAGGAGTGTCGGGTGTGTTCAGAGTTGCCTCAGTCCCAGGACTTTGTCCAAGGAGGGTCCTATTCCTCACTCTTCTGTTGAGCTCTCTGTCACTCACAGGCAGGCCTTCCCAGTCCCTCTCTTGAGACCAAGGTCCCTAGGCTCCCAGGGACTGACACCAACCAACCCTTTAAAGATGGGGGAACCCAGGGCCTGAGAGGCTCAGAGACTTGCCCAAGGTCACCTAAACCTAACAGAGGGGAGGGATGTTGAATTTTCTAAGCCCCTGTACTCCCCAGCAGCCCCTGGGCCCAAGGGCAAAGGGCAGCCAATGACCATGGGGCCTGTTCCCTGATGACCTGTCCCCCCGCTGGAGGCCCCACCACTCCCCACCAGGCCTAAGGCAAATACGGCTTAGACACCTGGTTAGGGGTCATGAGGATCAATGTGCCTGATCCAGGAAGTTGCGAGAACTTGTGGGGGTGGGGCTCATAACTATGAGAGTACATGCAGAGTACTGGGCTTTCCTAGAGCCTCCTCTTCCCTCCCCTACACCTGCCCAGAATACTCATTATGAGGCAGCAGAGAAATGCTGTCTGCATCAGCTGAGTGGCTCCGAGAGGACTGCTGGCTCACTCTGTTTCACAGATGCAGCAGCTGAGGCTAGATAGGGGCAGGCTGACCCAAGGTCATTCAGCCTGCCTGGGACTCTTGGGACTCTTGGGACACACAGGCTGTGGGTGTGGGGAGGGGCAGGCAGCTCCCAGTTTTGGAACCCCCCTCTAGGCACCAACCCCAAGCTTATCCTACTACCTCTTGCACTGTACCCCCAGGCCCCTGCCCGCACTGCCCCCCAGCCCATGCAGATGGGGCCCTGCGCCTACGAGATCAAGCAGTTCCTGGACTGCTCGACTACTCAGAGTGACCTGACCCTGTGTGAGGGCTTCAGCGAGGTCCTGAAGCAGTGCAAGTACAACCACGGTGAGCGAGCACACCTCGACCCAGTTAAGTTGGGGGTCAGATCCTCTTGTACCTGCAGGTTGACCACCAGCGTGTGCCACTCCCTTCCTCCACAGGTCTGAGCTCCCTGCCCTGAAAAGGCTGGTGTAGACTCATGGGCAAGCTCCGAGATGACTCCTGAGCCACAGCCCTGCACCCACCTCCACCCCCTCACCGACAGCAGGACCATGATGCCAGATTGTTCCTGTGTAGCTGGGATTGGGAGTGAGGAGGGGTTTTCTAACCCCACAGATAACCCGAGACACAGATGTGCAATGAAAGGAGTATATTTTAGACCACAGCCTGCCGTGTCCCCTCTAGCTGGCCTGCCTGCCAGGAGCACCCTGGCTGCTCAAGTGGGGTTGGGGAGATGGATGGGTGTCTCACTGTGGTGTGGGATGCTTCACCTGGGTGGGATGAGAGGACCGTTATTGTAATCTGCACTGCAAGAAGCCAAGGACAGACCACCTTGGGAGTCCAAAGTGGGGTGGTGAGGCATTAACAGGTAACCCCATAACATCTGACTTGGGACTAGAATCCCAGGAGGAGCCTGTTGTCTCTTTCTCAGGGATGGCTGCCCCCTCTGCCCTTCTTGTCTCCATCTCTGGAACCCTTTCTCTGCACCCACGTCTTAGGGGTCCCCAGCAGCCTCATGTCCTATCTGACCTTGCCCCTTGCTAATGTGACTGCTCAGTCATTCCAGATTTTGTAAGAGGAATCCTGCTGGGCTGCTGTCTGTTTGCACCTGATCACACAAGGCAGAGGTCACAGACCTCTTGGATCTGAGTCCAGCTCAGCCACGGGCTGTAGTGTGCCAGGTCATGGGGCCTGCAGGAACAGAGGAGCAGGCCCTTCAAACACAGTGCAGACTGTGGCATCACACACTGCAGCTGCCTTGCTGAGTGCAGCAGTGAGCACCTACTGTGTGCCAGGCCCTATTACACATCTAAGCACTGAGAACATTCCTGTCCTTGGGGTGCTTACACACCAGTGGGGTGGGGGCCCATCTCTAGGTACAATGTGTTCCATTTTGGGGGTATATGTGTGTGGGGTTGGCATCGAGGGTCTGCCTCTCAGCACACATGTGTCTGTCCCACTTCTGGGTGTGTCTCCTCTGGTGTCCATATCTCCTCCGTACCTGGCACCTGGGCAGCAAGGAGCCCATCCTTCGGGGTCTTGAAGGGGGGCCTTGCTCCCGGTGGCCACGCCGAGTGCCCATGCGCCGTCTCCAGCTGTTGCCAGTTGTGGGGAGGCCTGACAGCCAGCGTAACTCCTCTGGAAGGTCCAGAAAACCCTGCTGGTGGGAACTAGGGAGATGTGCCTTCCCCCTGGGGCTCTCGTTTGAAACACTCACCTGCCAGCTCCGGACACTGGTCATCCAAGTTCTCCAGTAAGGACTCATAGCGGTCAGGGGCCCCGCCCTCCCCCTCTGTGGAGTGTGAAGAGAGGATAAAGGATCCCTGACTGGTCTGATGGTCCCCACCCCACCTCTCAACCTGTTTGCTGACCCAGGCTGGGGTCATGACACGGCATTGGGTAGGGACAGGTTGGGGACAGGTCCCAGCTAAGGTGGGGGGCTGGGCAGGGCCTTGGGTGGTCTGTGGTCTGCTGTCCCCCTTACATTCCAACATAGCTGCAGGGGAGAGTCTTGGTCCCCACTTACTGATGATCTGCACAAGGACATAGGTCCTTCGCTCCTGCAGCAGGGGACTTCCCATGGAGGAGGCTGGGGAAGTTCCCTCCTCCAGGCCTTCACCCAGGCTCACCAGGTGCCCGTCCTCAGCCAGGAGAGCTATGGTCGCTGGGAGGGCAAGGAGAGGCTGGGCAGGGCTGGCACCTTTGCCCGGGGGCCCCAGCCTCCTTCCCCCGCCCCCTCCCTGTCTCCTCACCATCTGAGGGTACCCGCCCCCTTTGCCTCAGGTGGGCGGTGAGGGTCACCAGGCTGCACCGGGGGTTCACCAGCTCCCAGCAGCCGGCTGTGAGGGAGGGACAGAAGTGAGCTCGGGGGAACCTCTACTATCCCTCAAATCTGGGACCCTCTGCCTCTGCCTCCTATATCTCCCTTTCCCAGAGCTGTGACTAGGGCTGTAGGACTAGGACCGTGTCCCAGGCGCAATAGCTCACGCAATCGTTGCTTAAACTGCTCGAGGGACGCCCTCCATCCGTCTCCCGAGATGGGAGCCCAAGACGAATGCCCCCCGCCCCGGCCCCGCTGGCCCCGCGCCGGCCTCGCCTCCCGCACCCGGCACACCCGCCTCCCGCCAGACGGCCGGGGGATCTGCAGCCGTGGCTAGAGCTTCAGGAGTCTGATGCACGCTGAAGCCTGACGAGCACTGACTGAACGGCGAAGAGACTGTGCAGTTTAAAAACGTGCTGCACGCTGGCGTGGCGAGCGCTCGCCGAGAGGAGCCCTCGTGATGACCCAGGCAGGGCCCAGCCCGGGTCTTCCCCGCGAGGGACGCCTGCAGGCGT